GGGGGGGGGGTTCATTATACTGTTTTGTTGTTTTCTTCAAAATACTTTATGGGTTACCTGAGCTGCCTCATCCAGCACAGCCTGCCAAGCCCCCCGACCATTAAAACCCCTCACTCCCCAGATATAGCCTCTTACTGCCCAGGGCTCCCAAGGAAGGAGCTAACTTCAATTCCTGAGGAGGAAATGTTCAAGATGAGCCTGAAATATATGTTACCAGAAAGCAAGAAAATCTATTCAAGATCACCAAGGTATGTCAAAAGGATTTAGGAGCCAATGTGAAAAGGCTCCCACTGGCCAAAGCTGAGATAATTTGAGCTTCAATAAGAATAATAATTTCAGCCCGGCTGGGCGTGGCTCAGCAGTTGAGCGTCGACCTAGGATCCAGGAGATTGGGGTTCGATTCCCGGTCAGGGCACATGCCTGGGTTGTGGGCTGCAGCCGATCAATGACTCTCTCATCATTGATGTTTCTCTCTCTCCCTCTCCCTTCCTCTCTCTGAAATCAATAAAGATATATTTTTAAAAAATAATAATTTCAGTGGATTTGGAACATTGAAAACATTTCATCTGTGAGTTCATAATGATAAAAAAGAAACACCTAAATAATCACCCATTGAAGGATGCTAAGGAGCCAACTCATTATTTTAAAAACTAGTAAAAAAAAAAAAAGGTTAGTTCTTAGTGCAGGCTGGTGGCAGGGTTGGTGAAACAGGTAGAACCTGGCCAGGTCTGGCCAGTTGGAGGCCGAGCCTGAGCTGAGGTGAAGAATGGTGCTTCTGGTCAAGATAGTGGCCTAGGGCCCTGGCCGGGGAGCTCAGTTGGTTAGAGCGTCGTCCCCATACGCCAAGGTTGCGGGTTCAGTGCCATCAGGGCATATACAAGGATCAACCAATGAATGCATAAATAAGTAGAACAACAAATTGATACTTCTCTCTCCCCTTTCCTCTCTCTCTAAAAGTCAATTAAAAAAAAAAAAAAAAACTGGTGTAGCTACATTCGGTACTGGAATCCTCCCACAACCACATCAAAATTACAACTAAACTACAGAACCTCCATCATTCAGAACCACCTAAAAATCTGAGTAGAAGTCCTACAGCTAAGAATATAAAGCAGCAGCCACAGTGAGAATGTGACCTTGTGCCTGAATGTCTGGACAGTGTGCAGGAAAATGGAGAGCTATTTTATTTGGAACTGAGCGAGGAGGAAGAGGAAAGCCTCCTCCCTGAGACACCCGTTGTGAACCATGCCAGGTTCAGTGAAAATAGGATGACTACTGAAAAGCATGATTACAAAGAAGGAAAGAGCATGTACCCAAACTCAAGTGGTTTACTTAAAAGAAAGCTTTTAATTGATTTCAGAGAGAGGAAGAGAGAGAAATACCAATGTTGAGCCTGGCCAGAGTGGCTCAGCGGTTGAGCATCGACCAAGGATCCAAGAGACTGAGGTTCGATTCCCAGTCAGGGCACATGCCTGGGTTGCGGTCCCCAGCAGGGGGCATACAGAAAGCATCTGATCAGTGACCCTCTCTCATCATTGATGTTTCTTTCTCTCTCTCCCTCTCCTTTCCTCTCTCTCTCAAATCAATAAAAACAAAAGAAAGAAACACCAGTGATGAGAGAGAATCGTCCACTGGTCACCTCCTGCACACCCCCTACTGGGGATGGAGCCTGCAGCCAAGGTACATGCCCTTGGCTGGAATTGAACCCAGGACCCTTCAGTCCATGGGCTGACACTCTAACCACTGAGCAAAACTGGTTAGGGAGGTTTACCAAAATTTTAAAAGTAAACGACTTTTACCCAAGCACTATAATAAAAACAAATAGCAATGACAGTGGGCCAGTATCCATTCTAAAGCATCAGTCCAATCAGAAAACAGGAGTCACTGTCTAACAGAGGTACAAAGACATGAACGTCTAGGTAAACCCAAAAAAACTAATGGTCACCAAAGCCAAAGAGCAGCTCAAGCTTCCAGAAGTGCTGGTTAGTATCATCCATCAGACCAAGTGGAGCTGGAGAAAAACCAGAAAACAGGCCGGTGGGGAGAGGCTTGTGGTCCACGGCCAGGAGGACCTGCCATGAAGAGTGGTCAGATAAGAATTAAAAGTGCTGCTGCTGAACATCAGTTGCTGAGATACGTGACTGATGATGCCTTGTTAGGAAAGTGATCAAGACAGAACCATAGCCAGGGTCGCAACAGATGAAAGACTGCTTGACAATATTTGGGGCCACATAAGGGTAGTGTGCTGCCAGCCATGGTGTTCTTAAACACTTTAGTGTCTTAAAGAGTCACATTTTTAAAAAAAGAGACTTTAAAAAACAGAGAGAGAGACATATTGGAGTATTTACAAAAGAAATGCTATGATACCTGAGGTTTCCTTTGAAATAATCAGGTGGGGTGGGGAGAGTGGGCCTTGGGAGAGATGAGACAGGATAGTGAGTTGACTATGATGNGGGTGGGGAGAGTGGGCCTTGGGAGAGATGAGACAGGATAGTGAGTTGACAATTATGATTNGAGACAGGATAGTGAGTTGACTATGATGTTCGGTAATGGGGTCAGAGGGTGTTTATACTCCTCCCTACTTTTGTATAGGTTTGAATTTTTCCATAATAAAGTAGTTTTTAAAGATTTTTTAAAAACAGGGCAAAGAATCCCAACTTGGCTCTGTCATCTGCCAGCAATCCTGACCAGTGACTCTCTGGGTAACTGCCAGGGAGCCAAACCTCAAACTCTGGCCCCGGGAAAGAGGCCACAGATGCCATTCCTCTACCTCTGCTCAGGCTCGGCCTCCCACTGGACAGGTCCTTCTGCCTCTGTATCACCAACCCTGCTCTGCATGCTGCCACCAGCCCGCCCTGAGAAATAACCTGTAAAACAGCTGAGGGATTCACTCAGTGCCCTGTCACTCTGACAGAAGGGCCTTCTGAACAATCCTGTTCTCCCCGGAGGCAGGAAAACATGTTTCTCCGGAGCAAATGGTCAAGGTTTCACTTGGTAACACTGTGTCTCTTTATCCTAGCTGCTGGTAAACTCACAACCCAACTCTGCCCAATTTTATAAATCCCTTGGACCTCAATCTTAAATTATCCTATTTTCCTGTCTTCTTTTACACCTAACTTCCCACTCTTTGGGAATCTTTATTCTGTTACTTTGTATATACTGTGTAAGCCACCTGGAATCCCTAGACTCCAGGGGGCAGTCTTCCATCAGAGCAGCTCCCCAGGTGCCCTCTTTCCCTTCCCCATCAACCCTCACCCACCTGCCCCAACAACTCACTGTGCATGATGGCTTGGATCTCATACTGAGGCCTCAGGATCAAGGAGCGCCAGGGGAAGACGGGGCAGGTGAGGAGGAGGTCCTTCAGGGCCGGGTCCTTCAGGGTCTGCAGCAGGGTCCGAGGGGCACCAGTCTCCAGTTCCCAAAAGGGCCCCTTCGTGGTCAGGGGCAGGTGCAGAACCACTACCTGGGTCCCCATGCTCAGCACACAGCGGGCAGAGGCGGTCCCCAGGTACATTTCCACAGCCTCAAGCATGAGGGGCTGCGCCTCAGGCACCACCCTGGCCTTTGTTTCAATTCTGTGGGTCGACATGAACCAGATGGGCAGCTCCTTGGAGCTCTGGATTACAGCTGAGACCAGTTCCTCCAGGGTTCCATAGCTCTGGGGGCCAGTGAGGGAACTGAAGAGGCCTGTGGGGCACAGCAGAGGATGGGTCAGGGTGGCGCAGACCTTTATTGGGTCCAGGACCAAATATACCAGGCCCCAGAGTGGCCAAAGAGAACCCAGCCAGATTCCCCCGAAGACAGGTGCCAAGGACAGGCCAGCATCTGGACACCTGGGCTGCAGGGCTGAGAGAGGGGAGGCAGCAAGTGACTACGTGTGAATGGACAGCAAGGGGCCGAGGTGGAGACAGTTCCCCTGACACAGGCAGACACGGGGGACTGCTCAGAGACAGAGAACAGAACAGGGATGTGTTCCCCAAAAGACACACTGACAACTGCCACATTTTCCGACCTCTTGACCCCACCTGCCTCTAATTTTGCCAACTTTGCCTCCAGATACCTGACATCCAACACCTATCACCCCATCCTGGGGCAGCACCATTGTCCCTCTCCCAAACTAGAAACCTAGGAGCCACTGGCCAAATGAGTTCTGACCCCTCACCCCCCTTAAGTGTCTGCCAATTCTGGCTGCTCTCACCCCTCTGCCCCTCCCCCACCCCATCCGTTCTTCTCTTGCCACCTGACTGGCCTAAACTAACCCCACATCTGGACATCACTTCTGAGATTTTTCCTGCTCAAAACATTCAACATGCTCGGCCGGCGTGGCTCAGTGGTTGAGCATCGACCTATGATCCAGGAGATCACGGTTCAATTCCCAGTCAGGGCACATGCCAGGTTTTCAGGCTCTATCCCCAGTGGGAAGCATGCAGGAGGCAGCCCATCAATGACTCTCTCACCAATGATGTTTCTGTCTCTTTCCCTCTCTCTTCCTCTCTCTGAAATCAATAAAGATATATTTAAAAGAAAAAACAACACTCAACACATATCCAATCCAGGAAACATCATACAGACCCAGACAGAGGGACATCCTGCAAAAGCACTGGTCTGGACTCTTTAAGCACATGGACGTCAGGACAAAGAAAGGCTGAGGAACTCTTCCAGCCTGAAGGAGACTAAAGAAATAGGACAGCTGCCCTAGCTGGTTTGGCTCAGTGGTTATAGTGTCGGCCCTCGGACTGAAGGGTCCCGGGTTCGATGCTGACCAAGGGCACGTACCTCGGTTGCAGGCTTGATCTCTGGTTGGGGCGAGTGCAGGAGGCAACTTATCGATGTGTCTCTCTTACATCGATGTTTCTCTCTCTCTCTCTTTCTCTCTCTCTCCCCACCCCCTTCCACTCTCTCTGAAAAGCAATGGAAAAAATATCCTTGGGTAATGATTAAGAGACAAAAGAAAGAAAGAAATAGGACAGCTGTTTGTGATGTGTGACCTGGGACTGGATTCTGGATCAAGGGAAAAAATTGCTACAAGGGACATTATTAGGGCAGCTGGTGAAATATGAATACAGACTGTGGATTAGGCACTAGTATTATATCAATATTAAATTTCCCAAATTTGATAATTAAACTATAGTTTTGTGAGCAAATCTCCTTGTTTTTAGGAGACACACCTAAATATTAGGAGTAAGTATTACACCTAAATATTAGGTCTCACGTCTACAATTTACTCTCAAATGGTTCAGGAAAAATTTATACATATACAGTAACATATGTTCACATATCTGTATCTGTGTGTACTAAGAGAGAAAGGGAAAGAGAGAAAGCACATGTAACAAATGTTTAACAATCAGTGAATCCGGATAAGGGTGTAGAGTAGTTCCAGCAAGTCTTCCGTAAATTTGAAATTATTTCAAAATCAAAACAAAATCCTCAAAATATAAAATAACAAATCACTTCTATATTTAAAACCCTCATGGGCTTTCAAACCCTCAATGCCTTCAAAATAAAGACCAAAATGTGTCTGCGCCCCACACAAGCCCCCTTCGGTCTGACTCCAGCCACCTCCCACCTCAGCTGGAGCCCACACCCTCGCTCATCCTGTTTGGGTGATCACAGTGACTCATACTAAGAACCAGCATTCGGGGGGCACATGCTCTGTGCCTGCTCTGTTCTACATGCCTCATGCATGGCAACTCATTTCATCCTTACATCAAGCCTGAGTGCCCCCATCACACAAGAGGAAGCTGAGGCCCAGAGAGGAACTGGCCAAGGCCACAGATAGTGGTTGCAGAGCAGGATTCCCACCCAGGCTGTTGGCTTTAGCGTCGGGCCCAGAGTCTACCGCACTATATGCCTCCTGAGTTAACTGAGCTACATGGGGTTTCTGGAGCCCCAAATGTGCACATGATACTCCCTCTAGGGATTCTTCCTCCAGCCCAGGTACCACCTCCTTCAGGAAGCCCTCCCAGACCACTGAGGCAGGCCACTCCCGCCAGAGCCCACTCTAAACCTGCACCTACTTCTACTGTTGCCCTTCCTCTCATTGCCATCGTGGGAGCTCCCCACCAGAGAGGGCGGCCCCTGGTTCATCCCACACCCCAGCCCCCAGCGCAGAGCCTGCCACACAGAGGGTGGGAATAAATGTTTAGTAAGTGAATGAGGGAACACAGAGGCATGTGGACAAAGACCTGGAACAGCCCTGCCGGGCGTGGCTCAGCGGTTGAGCATCAACCTAGGATCCAGGAGATCGAGTTCTGATTCCCAGTCAGGGCACAAGCCCGGGTTGTGGGCTCGATCTCCAGTCGGGGGTGTGCAAGAGGCAGCTGATCAATGATGACTCATCATTGATGCTTCAAATCTCTCTCCCCCTCTCCCTTCCTCTCTCTGAAATCAATAAATATATTTAAAAAAAAAAAAAAAGACCTGGAACAAAGAAAATCCCAACCAAGAGGTGATCAGATCGATGGACAGGGAGAGGGTGCAGCCACGCCAGGCTCCGGGCACGGTCAAACCACCATGAGGACATCCTGAGCCTTGAGGCTGGGTGGACGTGAGGCGCACATGCTAACCCAGAGGAGTGGGAGTGCATGCTGGAGTGGGCAAGCCCATGAGTGTCCACGGGTGTTCCTGGAGGGTGCCAGGGCACTCGGGGAGGCAAGTGCCAACCTTACCCTTGAAGTTGGGGTCCAGCTCCATGGTCTGGCCTGTGCCTGGGTTCTCACAGACAACCTTCTGGAGGCGAAGCTGGGTTACCTTGATCAGGTCCCCTGTGGAAAGGCAGCACTCATTCCCAGAGATCTCATAGATGGAACCTGTGGAGACACAGACTCAGTTTCCCCATTCAGCAAGGGCCAAGCACTGTGAGGCCTGTCCTCCCACAGCCGTGCTCTGCCACACCTTTGCGCACGTGTTCCTGCTGCCTGGAATGCCTCCCCTTCCCTACTTAATGGCCACTAGCTCAGCTGTCCTTAGGTGGCATATATGCCACCTTCACCTTCTAGCGCTGGACATATCCCCCTGTGGTACATTCTCTGGCCTTCTTCACATCCCCGTGCCTCCTAAACTGAGCTCTCAGAGCAGGGCTGACCCATCTTAGTGCCACAGCAGCCGGCACAGCCGTGGCCTCTCAGTGTGTGTTCAAGTCGTGAATTAGTAACTCACCCCAGTGACTCCCATTCCCTTACTGCAGTTATTTATTCAGGCCCAGAGAGGGTCAGGGGCAAGACAATGTCACACAGACCCTAGCACCCACCCTGGTGCTTTCTTCTTCAGATGAATTGTTTTTAAAAGAAACACAGGAGAGAACAGAGGACCACGGACGGGGGAGCCCCGTAGGCAGGGTTCTGGGCCCTTAAAGCAGTGTCCGGAATATAGAAGGTGCTCAGCAGAGATCTCTATCGCACACGGAGTGCACAGGCTCTGCATCTTGCTGACGACCAACAGCAAAGTACAGCTGGTGACGCTTGAAGCCACCGGACAACCCCACCCCACCC